ACTTTCCGTATGAAAAGAGAGGTACTTTACCACAAAGACTAAAGAGCGTGCGGAGAAGGGAATTGGTCCTCTTGAGAACAGTCTAACAACTCCGAGCTGTTGCACCTAATTTCTGGGCTATTTGACCAATTAGATGTCAAAGTTTGGGAAACAAACAGGCATCGCTAAGAGGTTTGAAGGGTGGAATAACGGGGGCTAAGTGACGGAGGGTCCTTCTGAAACACACTTGTAGCTCACAGGAAAAGAAGTGCAACATCTTTTTAGACATTCAAGTGTATACAACTTAAACTTAAAGCAATACTTTACCTATAAAATGACCGCCTGCTTATAATTTACTCACCGAGTGTTGCCTTGAAAACTGAATAAATCATAGATGAATTGAAGCGAACGGGGTCCAGGTTTAACTCAAAGTTATATTAAAATCATGTTTAAAAACTCCCACACAGGTGGTGCAGTATAATCCGAGTCTCGTTTATCGAGTTGTGTTCTTCCCACACACATGCATTCTAGCAAAAATGTTACTATTTAAAACAATGGACTCGTTTCATGCAGGAGATGGTTTTGGGTTCAAGGAAACAGGTAATATTTAATTAATATTCCAATGTTCATTTTAAGGATGAAGTAGGCTTTTCCTTTAAGTGACACAAATTACATCCATTTACAACAGTTCAATAAAACATATCACTTATTATATTATTGAGATTTTTGAGATTTGAAGTTTAAAGGAGTATCTTTCTGATTTCATACCAAAGTGCTTGTCCTATATTTAAAAGGGCATACAAATACAAACAAAAGAAACCACAAATATGAAGGGAAGGAAGGAAACGGATTAGAAAGGACTTGGTTAACCCTATTTTGTAATATCCTGAATGCGAGCTGAAAAGTAATTTTAGTTCCTTATTTTTCAAAGAATATAGTGTTGGTCATTTTAAATGATCTAAAAATGTTATTTTAAGATTAATTGTCTAAATAAATAACCATAAATAAAAGAATAATGCTGCATGTCGGCTGTGCATTGCACTGCTCTCATTGTTTTTCATCCCTCATTTGTTGATCTTTTTTTCTTCTCTTTTTTGTGAATATCTGGATGAGTTTTAAAAACTGACAGTTGAAATTGCCATCTCATTTAAAATATCTGCTCAGCACAGCGTAATATCCGGATGGGGGTCACTTATACGGTTACATATTCCTCCAATTCTGACAAAGTGAATTCTCTGCAAGTCCTCAGTCTTAACGACCCCTTCCTGTGCCTCTGACCGAAGGGGGGATTCTCTGGGGGGGCGAGGATGCTATGGAGGAGCTCTACCCTCGTGCACGCCCCTCGTATTGATCCATAAAAGCCTCAGTGACTATTGCTACGGAGCGTGCCGCTCTCTGTGGTGTGGAGGGGGGGGGCATGATCACGGGCTGATAGCAGCACGACAGCACACCATCACACACCGGTGTCCCACCCAAACCCGTCGGCCTTTCGGACTAACCCACTGCCACCAACCCTGACCTCCTACCCCCCCCCCCCACAACCCCGAAATTTTTCTTTCCCCCTTTTCTCTAGCTCACCTTACTTCTAAAGGGATGCAACAATGATAAAGAGGCTGAATAACTTTCCATGGTTTCGCCTCTCACTAGGCATGGCTGGGAAGTGAACCGAGACAGAGGCCTTAGTTAAATAAATGGGGTTTGAAGTAGCACCCCTGCCTGGGGGGAAAAATCCAGACCTGCACAAAAAATAGTTTTAATAAAGAAGCCTGCGAATCTCCCGCATCCCTTTTTTTCTGCCCTCTTCCTGCTTCTCATCATTTTTGGTCTTTCTATTTCCTTCTCTCTCCCCGTATCCATCTTTCAAATTTCTCCATCTCCGTATTTTTTTTTTTACCTTCTGTGTCTCTTTCTCGTTTCCCCTGTCATCACGGCCATTACCATCCGCAGAGGCAAGTGGGGGAGGAGGGGGGGAAGAAAAAGGAAAAAAGGAGCCATACGCAATATTGGCAGCGTCCATTCCTCCCTCTCACAAGTAACCGCCATTAACCAGCCGGGTCAGAAGCTGAGCCACCAGCTTGACTTGAAACCCTGAGTGCCACTCGAAGAAACCCACCGACTCGCACATCCACAGAACGACAGGGAGGAAGCGAGAGAGAGGGAGGACAGCCGTGTAGCTGCAAAACAAAAGGAAAAAATCATTGTCACTTAATATAATTAGTCTAAGCCTCGTGCATTACCTCTTCAATAAGTTGCTGAGAGCGCCGCGTGCGGAGCGCGGACAGCAGGCGACACGCGAGGCTGCTTGTGGCTTCTGACAAGGTGCAGGCCACATATGCAAGAGATAAACGAAGGGGAGGGAGAGAGGGAGGGAGACAAAAGGGAAGGAATAAGATTTAGGCACGGAGGCAGATGTAAATTGGGCTTGAGACAAAGACACGTTTTCAAAGTGGTGAGACACACACACACTAGTACACTTTTCTCTCAGAGATCCCTTGAACTCCACAGTACCGGCGCGATAATCTCCGCAAAGGTTAACGCTATACGGCCATTAGCACATCGTGCAAGAGGCTTTTAGCAGGCGACCAAGCGCCTGTCTGCAGCAATTTACCACAAAATGTGAGGGGACTTAATGTACCCGAAGCCATTTAATGTAGCCGGGCGAGAGAAGTTCTCCCTCTCTGTCGCTCTCTTTTGTTCCTCGGCGGCGGAGAGATGGCAGTGACATCTCCCTCTCGCCGCGGACTGAGGCACCTGGTCCGTCATTTCTCTAATGATGGTGGGGTGAAGAGACGGGGCCGGAGAGGAGGAGATGGGAGATTTAAAGGGAAGCGGATGAAAGGAGGTGTGGGGAGGGAGTGGGTAGGTGTTGGGGGGGGGGGGGGAGATGTCTTCATTGTTTGAGACATGTCCTACGCCGTGTCAAAGGAAGCATAGATCTCCTTCCCCTTTTTTTTTCTTTTTTAGTTGTATCCTCCTGTGTGTCTTTTTATCCACGTCGACCTCCCTTTACTCCTCCATCCCTCATTTTATTCCCTTACCTTTGCGGCTGTGGGGACCAATTTGGCTAAAATGGAACCCCTTCCTCATTTTTTTCTTAATTAAAATCGGAGAGCCTCTGCAGGGGGGTTTCCTGTGTGTGTGTGTGTGTGTGTGTGTGTGTGTGTTCGTGTGCATGCTGGTGGCAGATTGCCTGCGTTCCATTAGTCTTTCATTAGAGTAGGAGAAAATCAAACAAAGACACCAGATTGTTTAGAGATAAAGCGAGTCTATTGATATTTTCTTGTTTCTTATTTACTGCTGTATTTTCACTAGTTAATAAAGAAACATACTGTTAAAAACAACACAGCGGTTTCTCATTTTTAAACAAAGAATCATACTTGATAACAACAGTAAAAACGATTCTAGCTGCTGTGTGTGTGTGTGTGTGTGTGTGTGTGTGTGTGTGTGTGTGTGTGTGTGTGTGTGTGTGTGTCGGGTCGGTCCTTTAGGGGAAGTAAGTTGCTCTCAGACGTGCCGGCCGCTCGAAGTGCAAATGGTAATAAGGCAGTGGGACAAACGCTCCCCCCACCTTCTCCTGCTCTGCGATGGCGCTTGCCCCCACCTCGCTCCCCCTAGCAGAGGAGGAGTGTGTGTGTGTGTGTGTGTGTGTGTGTGTGTGAGAGAGAGAGAGAGAGAGAGAGAGAGAGAAAGAGAGAGGAAGCGTGCAGCGCGATGTCACTGAGCATCTCAGAGTGGAGCTGCACAGTTGACTCAGTTGAGCCTGCACCGGCCCGAGACGCACACACACACACACACACACTCTCACACACACACGGGCTCGCTCGCTCGCTCGCTCTCACGTGCTCACGCTCTCCTGCGCGCACATACTTGGGAGCTCAGTCCAGTTCCTCAGCGGCTGCAGAGGAGTACAGAGGAATCAGCGAGAGAGAGAGAGAGAGAGAGAGAGAAGGGAGAGGAAAAGAGCGAGGACAGGCGGCACGGACGTCGAGAGAGGGACAAGATCTCAGAGAGAGAGAGAGGGAGAGAGAGAGAGGCGCGAGGCAGGGATAGCGGGTGGCTCACTCCCACACCTCATCTTCACTTTGCTGGGACAGGCACAGAATTGATGGTAAGAGACGTTCATGTATTTTATGGGCTCGAGTGCTTTAGCTACAAAGCGCTTTTCATGCGACTTTTTCTGTATTTATTTTGTTTACTTTTTCGATTACATTTAAAAAAAAATTTAACACAGATTTTGTGTGAAACAGTTTTTTTCTTCAGTTTTTACAGTTAGTTCATGTTTTCTGTTTTAATACAGAATGGATTTTACATTCAAGCCTTACTTATGAAAACAACACATACAGAATTGTGTTTTTGTCCTGACGGGTGCACGTGCTGAGTGCTGATGACAGCTCAAAGGTTCTTCAACTTTTTCTACCTTTTTAAAAAAAAATGTCTTTAATATTGGAGATGTGAACATGTGCGTGCATGCAGGGCAATGTGTTTGCATGTAGTTGTTTGCATTGGAGTCGAGTCCATGTCCAAGTACAAAATGACTGACAGATGGATTGAAACTAAGGCCACGGGCAACATCTAATTCCCATGACCTCCCTTCTTTTTTTATTTTACTCCATTCCTACTCTCCTTCGCATCAGCCGCCCCATCTCACCTCCATCCTTCTCCTCATCCTTCCTGACCTCCTGTTCTCCGCTTCATCTTGCCCTGTCCGAGACGAGGCCCCCCGAGGAAATTCACTGCAAGCGCTCTTTCCCCTCTCTCTTCCTGAGAATAAACTCCGCGAACACTCCTCAGCCACCAGAGCTGCCAAGAATCCTCACACACACACACAGACACACACACACACACACACACATCTACTCCCTCTGCTGTCCTCACACTTTTATCCTTTTGGTGAAGCAGGACCAGCCCGAGACCCAATCCCGAAGAGCCCACCTTCACTGACTTTTTTCCCCCTTCTCTTCTCTCCTCCTTCACACTCCCCCATCCCTCCTGCCCTCCCTCTCTCCCTCTCTCGGTCTAAGTCCAAGGAGGCAGAGTTGGATGTGAGAGGCAGTGAGTGCGACGACACAGTCCCACGAGAGCCCAGCGCCGACCCGGAGCCGCCCGGGCCACCTCCAGCTAAGGCTAACAACGGACCCCCCGCCACCGCTGGCGTTTGCCCGAGCATCCCATCCAGTGCCCACAGCAGCAGCAGCAGCAGCACCAGCAGCAGAAGTGGTCTGGGTGGCATTAGCATCGTTAGCAGCAGCGCTGAGGGAGCAGGCGAAAGCTCCATGCAGTTCAGCACCAGACCGCCTAGTGCTGAGCAGCCGGGCTTCATGGGGACATGGCAGCAGCAGGGCACTGACAGCAACCTCCTCTACAGAATGTCCCAGCAGGTACGTCGGCTCAGCCTCCCCCCCCCTTCATCCATCTCGCTCTGTGCCTTCCTCCCCCGTCCGCTCGCTTCCAAGGACTGAACTTTTACGTTTCTTCCCTCGGTGTGTGTTTCAGACGTTGGCTGTTGTTATTCTTACTTGGTCTGTGAGTTAGGAAGAGAGAGTTTGTTTGTGTGTCAGTATGTGTGTGTGTGTGCGCGTGTTTGTGTAATCTAGGGGCTGTGGGGTGAGTGGGGATGGGCAATGTTTTTGTTATTTGATATTGTAGATTTGCATGTAGAATCCCTACATGCAATTGCATTTTTGCATTTATTACTTCTGGAACACATCAGATTTGATGAATGTTTTGTTCCAGTTCGCAGTGTTTTCATTCATGCATGCTGTCTGTGTGTGTGTGTGTGTGTGTGTGTGTGTGTTGCTTTTATTTTTCACCAATTCAATGAATCATTTTCTGCTCCAAAAAAAACTAAGAGTTCCATTTTCTATTTATTTGTAAAAACACACAGTTTAACGCAAAAATATGCACAGTCTTCGGCCTATTTGGTTGATTTCAGCATTTGATGGATGATCCCTTGTCGGGATTCGTTACATACATGCTTAAGTCTCCGTAATTGGTCTGTGAGCGGCGTGGAGTTTAAAAGCAAGCAATAGCAGTGTTTTGGTAACCTCAGTGGCGATAAAGACTGGGGAAGGGGCTCCCCTCGGGGACCGGCTAATTGACTTCATGTGGCCGAGGCAGGAAGCCCCTCGCGCGGCTACACAACAGCGGAGGAGCCGCGAAGGAAAAAGCGGCCCGTCTGGAAAAGTAACGATGATAACAGATCGCCTCCGCCGGCCGAGGGGAAGTCCACAATTCGTGGATTCGTCTCTCGTGGATGTTACACTGAATTTATTAGCTCATTTATTCTTTTCGAGCGCCCCAAAGTTACAGTTATTTTAAGGGACGGGGGGTTTTGTGTTGTCGTGGGATGTATGTCAGGTAAGGAGCTAAAAGTGTGTGTGTGTGTGCGTGTGTGCGCGTGTGTGCGTGTGCGTGTGTGTGTGTGTGTGTGCGCGTTTGATTGCGGCCGTTCGCGCGCACGTGTGTGCGGGGCAGACGGTAAAGATAGCGGCTGGTTGTCAGGTTGCAGTTAATCATTGCGGGACCCGCGGGCTCTCCGTACCATACACGTGCCGTTACGCGCTCACACCACAGCGGCTCTTGCGCAACAGAAGCGGCTCTTGGTTGAAGAATGATGAGAAACTTATTCTGGCGCTTTGAAAATCTTTACAGCCCGTTTTGTTTTGTTTTTTAAATCCCGGAGGAGTAATCGTGACGGTTAAACTGCTGTGTTGGTATTAATACATCCCCATATGTGCGCCATCATATATCACATTTTTGAAACCATCCTTCAGAAACACTGCATTTCTTTTAATGCAGCCCTGCACGTTTCACAAGACACAATTGTTTCGTTGAAATACCAGAAGAAAGGATCCCACAAAGTAGTAATAGGTGAAGTGAAAGAGCAGCGCGTAGAGGAGCGCTCCTCCTCCTCTTCCTCCTCCTCCTCCTCCTCCTCTCCCCCCCCTGATTCTCCCTCTCTCTCGCTTTGCCGGTGTGAAGCAGGTGGATGGGCCCCTGCGCTCATCATCTGCTGGGACCCCGCGTTTGCATCCCCGATCCTTTTTACAAATGCACACCGTTGTTTCAATATAATCAGCTGAGGGACCCGCTGTTATTTATCCTTCCTCGCACCACTTTAGGAGACATCTTCCGCTGGCTTAGTAGTCATGACATAAATTCTCCGAAGGAAGCCCGTTCCTTGACAGACTTCGCCTTCTCGGAATCTAACCGATAATGACTTTGTGTTTGCCGAGGTTGGCGCACCCTGGGGGGCGTTGGCGGGGGGGGGGGGAGAGGGAACAGGGCGGTACGGGCTCGTGTTTCTGAATCGCAACTCTCTTCCCTTTAAAGATCAACAAGGTGACACGAGGGACGCGGCATTTGATCGCTGTTAGGTCCAAATTATATCAGCGTGTGATCGATGGAGACGCGACGCAGCCGCGCGCCGCGCGCTCAAGGACGGAAGCCGGCAGCGGAGCGTCAACGAGCCCAAACAGCTGGCGAGGCTTTGAACAGTTATTGTAAAACATAACGATGAAAGGCATCAGCTTTGGAGGAATAGAAACACGAATGCAGGTATATTGGAAGGGCTGGAATGGGGTCGTGGATTAGAGCAGGTGTCCGAACACATCGGTGCATAAACGTCATTGATCGATGAAAGCAAAGATAGAACAAATGTTATGATTATAGATTTGTTAAGAAGGGGGTCTGGTGGAGTTTTTCTTCTCTTCCAAGTGTTTTATAACACAAATCCATACAAAAAAGAAAGAAAGAGCACCTGTTCCCTCGAGTGTAAAGAAAAATAAAAGACAAATATATGTCAATTCGAGAACGAATGAATCAGAATTTATTGATTTCATTTTTCATTGATAACTGCATTCAGGAAGAAATTGTGTATTTCATATTTAAGTCGTGATTTTGAACTTTTTTTTGTGAACTTGTGTTTTTAAGATAATTACACAGCCCCCCAGCACATTTTGCTAGAGGGGATACGGTCACAAATAGGAGGAACAGATGAAAAATAAAGGTAATTTTTTATTATGTTTTATTTAGTCAAGATTACATATTGATAATCTATCTACATGCATTCGTATTTTAATATTGCGTCTTTCTCCAAAGTAACGAAATCAAGAGCAGTCGCGATGAAGGCACCAATGCAAGAGAATATTTCCCACCTTAAAACAAGAGGCCTTAATAGGCTTTTAATCGTTGCTTTCCGAAAACACAGAGCAGAAGATTGTCAACCTTCATAACCCACGCAAATGTGTCAACATGCAATTTAAATGAAATCAAATAAATGGATTCCATAAATACTGAATGTTTCCTCAGCTTCCAAATGTTCAGATATCGGCGACATTTTTTTTTTACGAGAGGGAACTTTCAAAATAGTTTTAAAGAAGGAATAAAACCCCCACAAATCAGGGATTGAATCCTTTCCTAAACATTAACAGAGGGTTCATATGTGGAGCCTTAATTGACCCACGCGTAATTGGTTCATCAGGGATAATTCCTCCGCAGCGCTGCAGCCGCACGCTGCGTCTCCTCCTTAGATCTGCGTGTTCCTCTGCGAGTCGGAGGAAAACGACGGAAACAGTCAGGGATGAGGGAGAGAGAGAGAGAGAGGGGGAGAGAGAGAGAGAGAGAGAGAAAGGAATGTCTTCCATTTGAAACTCCTTTTCCTTTTCTTTGTACGAGGGCGCGGTGCCGCGGCTTCCTCTGAGGTGCGACAGGTCGACGTGAGACCTGGAGGAGGTTCAGAGGCGGCGCAGTTCGCCTCCGTCTCGTCCGTCTCCCTCGGAGCATCAATGGCAGGGTTTTACGATGTGGTTTTAAAAAAAGCTGAATTTTAAATGATACTACTATTGGGAATTCTAGGAAGATAAATAGTAATTATATGTAAATTCTTAAAAAAAAAAGAAAAGATTTAAAGTTTTCGCATTCTTTACATTTTTCATGCATTTGGTCAATTTCAAATTTTTCTTTCTTTAAATTGAAAATCAAACCCCCAATCCTACATTGATGCCATGACCCTCACAAAAGGCATTTACAAATTTTATAACTCGAAGAAGAAAACTTAGACTAAAAAGCTGTAGAGGATTGTATTACAATTTCTTTATTTATATTGGTAATGTTAATTTTTGAATAAACCTAAAAAAGAAAAGAAAACTAAGCTGTGTTTAGTTCAAAAGGCCTTTTTTTATTTAAAGAAACAAATAGTTTTAAAACCTTCCCTGATTTCCTCCTTTTTTTGAATTTCTGTAACCTGGCTTAGGCTATTTTATCTCGATCTTTAATATTTTCTGGGGCATGTATTCATATCGTGTGTCACATTAAGTTATTTTACAATCGTCCCTGTTGATTTTTTTATTTTGTTAACGCAGTGCAGCCCATACAATCCTGTCGGCGTGTTAAACCCTCTGCGTGATGTTAGCTGTGAGGATGTGATGACGGACGTATTAGTGGACCAACATGCTCTGCTTTGTTTTGTCTGACTGAAGAAATGAGGTTGATATTATCCTCTCCAGTGCAGATCACAGAACACGCTAATCTGCCCATTAACACACTGATACACTTACAGTGGTGAGTTCGTGTGTGTACTGGTTGTTTTACACAGTGGGGTACAGGCGTGTTACATGTGCGCTGCATATGCATTGCTCCTTGACATTATATACGACTGAGAGGCAGTGATTTAATACATATGTGCAGAATTATCCACACTCAGTGAATGTGCGTGTGTGTCGTTACACTCGACTGTTATTATTTCCATGTCTGTCTTTGATGGGTCGTTGCACACGGAGCATATGGATGCCTATACGTACACGTATCTGGTGTCAAACGTGCCCGTGTGTGCCCCGCCGCTGGTTATGTGTGTGTGCTTTAGCCATTTATTTCTCTGAGTGGGTGGCTAAATAGTCATGTGCCAGTTGTGTGAGTGTGTGTGTGCGCGCGCGGGAGAGAGAGAGAGAGAGCGAGAAAGAGCGATCTTGTGTGTGCGTGTGTTTTCTGTGTGTTGGCTCGGGCTCCATGTGTGTGTGGGTGCGAGGTGAAGTGTCTCTTGGCTGGCCTTGGCTGGAGAGCTGGAGGAGAGCAGAGGTGAAAGAGGAGATTTGCAGAAAAAGACATGCACCCCCTTCCCCCTCCATTACTACTTTTTCTTTTTTCTCCTCCCTACATATATGTGTCTCACTGCCTCTTCTTTCTCTTACTCACTTTTCCTCATTCTTTTTACTCCCCCCCCCCCACCCCCTCCTTCTCTCTACTGCTTTTCCTACCTAAAGTTCTATCTCCACCAGCGGTCCTCCCCGTGCTAAATCACAGTGTTTTATTACGAGGGGCTCTCGGCATTGAATGTGCGTAACAAAAAGCCGCATCGGGCCCTTTTAATAAGACGCAAGGA